TCATGTTCCAACAAGGAACAAACTCCAAACTTCACCTGCAACTAACAACGCTATAAGAGGGCTGAGCAAAGCGGTAACATAGCCAAACAACGGTTTGCTAGGACAAGGTGGGTTAGAGGCTTGGATTAGCAACATGGGAGGCATGATAAGCAAGTGATAGGTATCGCAGCATAGGCATAGCAAAAGAGCGAGCAACAAGCAAGCAAATATAGAAGTGATTTCGAGGGTATGGTCATCTTGCCTGAGATCCCGCAAGAAAGAATAACGAGTCCATGAGGAAGACAAACGGAAGTAGTCGAACGAATCCTCACAAACGCAATGTTATCGGAACCAACCCGAAGAAACAACAACAGAAAGAAGCAAACGACATAGTAAACAACCGCCACATAAACATGGCATGATATGCGGGATGCGGTAGGTGATGCATATGCATGATTTGGAAAGGAATGATTAAACCTGGCCTCAACTTGGAAATCCAAGAGTGCCACTGGAAAGGTGAGGTGATTTAGGTCGAAATCGATATAAAGATCACCGGAATCGGATGCACGGTTTGGAAATGGCAAGCAAAACAAATATGGCACCGGTCTGCGATTAACAGCAAGTAGCCTTCTAAATGCATCAAGAACAACATGCTACAGCACTCCAACATGATAACAAAATACATGGCAGGGATCCACTCATGATGCTTGAGAAAAGATGAACACTGAGCTACGGCTAATTCACTCATTAACAGGTTCAAACAAGCATGGCAAAAGTGCAAAAGATAACAGGTTTCGGACTTGGTGAAATTAACAGCATGTCAGGAATTTATCATCAGGAAGCAAAGTTTAGAGCATGCAAACTACATGCTACAGCAACATATCATGGCAAAGAAATGCATGACAAGAAGCTACTCAAAGCATGTAGCAAAAGTCCCTTAGTGACCATGAGCCAAAAGGAATCAGAAAATAAAATTGCAAGCATATGAACATAGCAAAAACATAAACAGATTCAGACTTAGTGAAAAACTGGAGCATGCAAAACAGTTATCAAGTAGGCATGTTTACGAGCTCGATGCACTCACTACAAAGCATGGCATGATAATCTAAGCATACACCCATCACGAAGACATGGCATAGGAGCTAGACATGGCAAAAACAACAACATAGCATGCACGGATGAACAACAATAAGCTCGGCAAAATTGCTAAACATGTTAACAATCTGCCAGGAACATATTATAGCAAAAGTAGAACTAGATTGACTCAAGTTAGGGTGCTTCATAATTGCAAACAAAGACATGGATGGATAGAGCTCAACATTATCTACAAAACATCCTTACTGATCATGCTCAAAAGAGGCACGGATCACTAGGAAACAACATGAACATATGGCATAAAAATAATGAAAGGGCAAGGACTTAGAGAAATTTGAAGTCCCTGAAATCAGCATCATTGAGTAAGCTACTTTGCATGCTTGTGCTAGTCACCACAAAGATCACAAAAATATATGGCTTACACCCCTGTAAAGTTAACATGGTATTCCACAAAACACATGTAGAGCTCAAGATCATAGCATGCACACATTAATCATGGAAAAAATGACAAAAGTGCATTTGCTGAAACAGATCTGAAACTATCATCATATAGCCCTCTTCCAACAGCATTTCGGGCATCAAGATGAGCTCAAATGAAAATGATGCGATGCAATGAAATGATGTACTCGTCGAGGCGAACATTTTGATATGCTACACGCACGAATCGGAGCAACGGGTGTAGAGTTATAATATGATGAAAATGCATAAAAATTACTGGGACTTGTCGAAAATTAGACCTCTCCGAGAAAGTCAACGGAACGGAGCGGTGCGGGACGGCTCGGTGAAGATCTAAGACGGGGCGTGTTTGGATGGGAAAGTGGTGGATCTGATCCATTTTGCCGTGATCCGGCGACGAGGCGTCCGGCGATGGCAACTCCGGCGAAGGAACGGCGGCGAGGCACTCCGGCTCCGGGGCGAGGGAAGGCCGGCGAGATCCCGGGCGGCGGCCGGGCGAAGGCGGCGGCGCACGCGGCAGGAGGAGGCGG